TAATCAAAGTGACAGCGATGACCCTGATGATGAAAGGCGTGTCGTTAGATCAGCGAAAGACAAGCGCTTTGATGAATTGTCGGCAACTGTTCACCAAATGAAGAATGCCATGAATATCAATGACTGGGTTAGCTTGCAAGAGAGCTTTGACAAGATAAATAAGCAACTTGAGAAGGTCATGCGTATTACAGAGGCTGTTAAAGTACCCACTCTATACATAAAAGCGCTTGTATTGTTGGAAGACTTTTTGGCCCAGGCTTTGGCAAACAAGGATGCTAAGAAGAAGATGAGTAGTAGCAACGCCAAGGCCTTGAACTCAATGAAACAGAAATTGAAGAAGAACAATAAGCAGTATGAGGAATTGATTAATAAGTATAGGGAGAATCCTGAGCAGAGTGACGAGGAGAAGGAAGCAGAAGAGGATTCAGAAGACGATGGATCAGTTTCTGAAATTGAGGATCCTACTGATATTGTAATGTCAAATAGCGATGATGATGGGGATGAAGAAGAAGATGAAAAGGATGACCAAACTGATGAAGGCTGGGAGAAGAAGATGAGTAAGAAAGACAAGCTCATGGATAGGCAATTCATGAAGGACCCAAGCGAGATCACATGGGATACAGTTAACAAGAAATTTAAAGAGGTTGTGGCTGCTCGGGGAAGGAAGGGAACTGGAAGGTTTGAGCAGGTTGAGCAGCTTACCTTCTTGACAAAGGTTGCTAAGACCCCTGCACAGAAGCTGGAGATATTTTTTAGTGTTGTTTCTGCTCAGTTTGATGTGAATCCTGGTCTCAATGGGCACATGCCAATAAATGTGTGGAAGAAGTGCGTGCAGAATATGCAAGTTATACTTGATATTCTTGTGAAGTATCCTAACATTACAGTGGATGACATGGTGGAACCTGATGAGAATGAATCCCAGAAAGGACCAGATTATGATGGGACAATTAGGGTCTGGGGAAACTTGGTGGCCTTCTTAGAAAGGATAGATACTGAGTTCTTCAAGAGCTTGCAGTGCATTGATCCCCATACTCGTGAGTACATTGAAAGACTCAGGGATGAGCCTATGTTTTTGTGTCTAGCGCAAAATGTTCAAGATTATTTAGAACGAGTGGGTAATTACAAAGCTGCTGCCAAGGTAGCCTTAAGGCGGGTCGAACTCATTTATTATAAGCCACAGGAAGTTTATGATGCCATGAGAAAATTGTCTGAGCAGACTGGAGAGAGCGATAATGGTGAAGAGCCTAAAGTGGCTGAGGAAAGTCGCGGTCCATCTCCATTTATTGTAATTCCCGAGCTGGTTCCTCGAAAACCTACCTTTTCAGAGAGTAGCAGGACAACGATGGATATTTTGGTTTCCCTCATATACAAGTATGGCGATGAGAGGACTAAAGTTCGTGCAATGCTTTGTGATATTTACCACCATGCTCTGCGGAATGAGTTTTGCACTGCCCGTGACTTGCTACTAATGAGTCACCTGCAAGATGTTATTCAGCAGATGGACATTTCGACTCAGATACTTTATAATAGGGCCATGGCACAACTTGGTCTGTGTGCATTTCGTAGTGGATTAATTACTGAAGGGCATAGTTGCCTTGCTGAACTATATTCAGGCGGAAGAGTAAAAGAGTTGCTTGCACAAGGTGTCTCACAAAGTAGATATCATGAGAAAACTCCAGAACAGGTATGCCAGTGCTTCTGTTATGTTTTTCCAAGTGGTTATTATTATTATATATATTTTTATATTATATGCTTGTGCGCATATTACTTTCTAGGAAAATGCTTTAGAACCCAAACTCAATTACAGGGAGCACGACCCGTATGATTGTGTGACCAACCCCACGTGAGAGTATTGGGAAAACGTTGGGGGAGATCAGGGTTCTATAGCATCATCCCTACTCTCTATATGATCTGAAGTCACTGTTTTGTCCCTGTAAATACCCAACCAAAATTGCACAAGTAGATTATGTGAAAAGAAATATCCACAAGTTTAGAATTTTAGATTTTTAGGTTTAGTTTGGGTTTTTGCAACAACCAAATAAAGAAGTGATGAAAATGATAGAAGAATCTTGGTATCCCCAAAACTATTATCAATGAATAGCTGATTAATTCTGCATGTTATATTCTCTGTATTTCTATATGCACCTTGCAATAAGATCTGGGAAGTTGCAACTAGGAGTTTTTCGACCAAGTATGCAACTAGTTGCTTTTCCTGACAAATGTGCTGGTGACACTTACTAATATTACCCAATCATTTAAGTTGTATCCTTTTTGGTGACTATTTATGATGTATTTAACCTCTTAGCATTATTATCGCTCCTTTGGAGGAGTTTTTTACTGAACGTATCTAGCATAATACTCGTGTAAGATGATGTGTTACATTAGGTCTGGTCAGGCTGATTAAATGGTCCAAGGAAAGTTACGATATGTTTTCAAAATAGGGCTGAATTAATTTCACCTTTGAACTATATGATGAGCTAATGCATGGAGGTTCTTCATGCTTGCATTGTTCTGCCAAATCAAAGTTTTGAATCTTCCACCCCATTCCACAACCTAGTTATGGCTGACATGGCTGTCATCATTACGATGCAGGTTCTTATAGCTTAATGCGGATATAATGTTTGTGGTCTTAACTAACATTGTACCTTCTTTGGGTTTCCTGACTCTGTGAGTTATAAATTTTATGGTATTTTTGCCTTGTGTGTTATCTGAAATGCCTATGGTGCTGCAATTTTTCAGATTGCAGTGTGGCATCATATTTAAAATTCGTGTGAAACTAACCAATTGAATTTGATAGAACAAGTCAGTGAAATAGTTCAGTTTAGCAAAACAGTTTGAAAAAACATATGGTTCGCATTCTGAAAAGCTGAAACTAATAATAAAGAACGGTTTTGCCACCATGTTGTAGAAAATGGGGACCTAGAAGAGTAAATTAGTTTCTTTTTGGCAGACTCTACAGTATTCCTGTTTTAAGTGTACTTTGCCTTCATCCCTGTATTTTATTTTATTTTATTGTTCTTTTTGTTTTCAGGAAAGGCTGGAGAGGAGACGACAAATGCCTTACCATATGCATATAAACCCTGAGCTCCTGGAGGCAGTACATTTGATATGTGCCATGCTGCTGGAAGTGCCTAACATGGCAGCTAACATCCATGATGCAAAGCGCAGACTGATCAGTAAGACATTCAGGAGGTTGCTTGAGGTGAGTGAGAAGCAAACATTCACAGGCCCCCCAGAAAATGTAAGGGACCATGTGATGGCAGCTTCCAGGGCACTTGGCAAAGGTGACTTCCAAAAGGCCTTTGATGTCATCAATTCTCTTGATGTTTGGAAGCTCCTCCCGAACCGTGAGAATGTTCTTGAGATGCTCAAGGCTAAGATCAAGGAAGAAGCTCTGAGGACCTACCTTTTCACCTACTCCTCATCCTATAAGACTCTGAGCTTGGAACAACTCACCAAGTTGTTTGACCTTTCAGAGGCCCAGATTCATAGCATTGTTAGCAAGATGATGGTCAATGAAGAGCTCTTTGCAAGTTGGGACCAGCCAACACGTTGCATCGTTTTCCATGACATTGAGCAGACTAGGTTGCAGGCGCTAGCTTTCCAGTTGACTGAGAAACTGGCAATCCTTGCAGAAAGTAATGAAAGGGCAACAGAAGCAAGGATAGGTGGTGGTGGGTTAGATCTACCTCAAAGGCGTAGAGACAACCAGGACTATGCTACTGGAACAGCTGCTGGGGGTGGTAGATGGCAGGACAACAACCTGTCCTTCAATCAAGGAAGGCAAGGTGGTGGCAGTGGGCGTGCCGGATACAACACTGGAGGCAGATCATTCAACCAAAATGCTGGAGGTGGGTATTCTAGGGACCGAGCAGGTCAGTACCGAGGCTCAGGGCAAAACTCTCGTTATCAAGATGCTGCATATGCCGGATCAGGGAGGACTGGCTATCAGACTGGTTCAGCCGCAAGGGGATCTCAGGATACTTCAACTCGCATGGTCAGTCTACACAGGGGGCTTCGTGCCTAAAAAAGCGTAGTTATTCCCCATTTTGATTAGAGAGCTTCTCTGTTTGGTTTCTGTTGTCAGTTAAATTTTCCCCTCATTAAACCTAGTTTTTTGTTGTTTGAATTTATATTTAGAGGCTTAAGTTTTGGACCTTTAAACGTTGAGAGTTGGGGTTTTGTATGCTAATACTATGCATTATGGCTATGGATGCATGCAAGCTTTTAATTTATTTGTTGTTTCATAAATTACCTGTGATACTAGTCCATGTTTATGGACGTGGATGCTTCATTTTTATGCTTGATCTTCTTGTCTTTCTCTAACTTTATACTTTTAGGTTTTGTGCTTGAACGCAATTTAGAAGCTTTGCTTGTAAGAACACACTACAGGGTTGATGATCACAACTTCTGCAGGAGAGTAAGAGTAATTGTGACTGGTCAATAATAATGTGCATCGCTGCTAATCATTTTTAGGGTTTATCAAATAGCTTTTGTATACGGCCATTGATCGGTGGCGACATATGGAGCCTGAAAGGAAGAAGATGAAATTATTTTTCCCGGGACCTGTGATGTTCACTTCTAATGCCCCTTATGCTTGACTGCAATGGTGTCATTGATCTCGCATGTCGAGCTTCTGCCATGTCGGATCATGGCCGGACGGATGATGATGCCTTTAGGGTTCTCTTTGTTTTTGTTCAACCGCCTATTCTCCACATTTCATAAAGCCTGAGAATTTTCTTGCCTGACTAAAAGCAAACCACTGAAATTGATATCATCCATTTTAAAAAGTGCTTTTATACTGGTCTCTTTTTCTGGAAGGAGACAAAAAGAAAACTTTATGTGCACATATCATACTGTGGTTGACAGAAATGTATTCATCATATACAAAAATACTTATACCATCTTCTCCAAGGAACTTCTAATAAATAAAAGCCTGTTGTGTTGTGCATCAAGTTTGAATTCAATACTCTCATCAATATATTGATATTTTATTACTAATTTATTATATAAATATTGATAATTAAAAAATGGTAATGAAAATTTTTCTGTTAACTGAAAATTTTGGTGGGACTCGAAGTCGTATCAGAGTTAGTAGAAGGTGGACATCTCCTTTTAGAGCCATCGCAGGTCAAATTTGAGTTGAAAAACCATTCATGGCTGGGAACCTCGGATGCGTGATCGTGGCCGTTGATGGCAGCGAGGAGAGCATGAACGCCTTGAGCTGGGCCCTCGACAACCTCAAGCTCCGATCCCCTGCCCCCGACTCTACCACCTCCGCAGGCCACTTCGTCGTCCTCCACGTTTGCAGTGTGGCATCATATTTAAAATTCGTGTGAAACTAACCAATTGAATTTGATAGAACAAGTCAGTGAAATAGTTCAGTTTAGCAAAACAGTTTGAAAAAACATATGGTTCGCATTCTGAAAAGCTGAAACTAATAATAAAGAACGGTTTTGCCACCATGTTGTAGAAAATGGGGACCTAGAAGAGTAAATTAGTTTCTTTTTGGCAGACTCTACAGTATTCCTGTTTTAAGTGTACTTTGCCTTCATCCCTGTATTTTATTTTATTTTTCAATCTCCGCCGTCCATCGCCGCCGGCCTCAGCCCCCCTGCCATCCCCTTCGGTGGGCCCAGTTAAGTTCCATCCCTTTCCCCCCACAATCACCACCACAATCCACCGTTCGCTTTGACTCAATGAATTCATAGACTTTTTTTGGTGGCCTGAAATTGATGAATTAACTCTCGATAAAATTGGTTTAGGCGATTTGGAGGTGCCTGCGTTCAACGCTGCGATCGAGGCGCACCAGAGGCGAATCACGGAGGCCATAATGGAATACGCTTTGAGGATTTGTTCCGAGAAGAAGGTTAGGGTTTATTCAGGGTTTAAAGCCTGTTGCTTTACTGATAAGACATAAGACCTGATTTAATTGGAGGGTTCAATTTTTGTTTTGAAAAATATTATCTTGGCCCTTGGGGCGTAGGTGAATGTGAAAACCCAAGTGGTTGTTGGGGATCCGAAGGAGAAAATTGGTGAAGCTGCTGAGAATTTGCACGCTGATTTGCTCGTCATGGGGTCCAGAGCTTTTGGTCCTCTAAAAAGGTAAGTATTTTGTTTCTTTTCAAATTTAATGAAACGACTGAAACTACACATTGGCACCATAATGTTACATAGGAGCCATATAACTAGTCTAGAGCTACTACTTGAACATGGTGGAGCCAAGAGTACTGCTGAAGGAGGGACCTTGAGGTCTTTGAGAACCATAGGCTGTAGGGTTCCAGCTGGGTTATCAAAGGATCATAGAATAAATGTCTGAGTTCTATCTTGAAAGAAGTTGATGAGCTTAAACACTTCTACGAGGTGTATATGCTATGGAAACTATTTCAGCAAGCTTGTGCTTTCATGTTTCTGTGTAATGGACCATCTTTATAGTGTTTAGAGTCCTGTCGGCAACATGTTTTCCTTCTAGAGTTGCTACCTTGGATGCACATGCTCCATCCCTCTGACTGTGTCAGATGGGAGGAGTATGACATGGTGATTGTAGGCTTGAACTTAAGACGATTACTCGTTTACTATTAGAGTCTTTGGTTTCTTCTGTTTTCAATATGGGTCATGTAAACTATTTAGAGATTTATAGCCCAGGAGAAGATACTAAACAGATAGAGTCACTAGACCCACTACATCTGCGTAGACCGTAACTTCAGTTAGTGAGATAAAAGTATGATTCACGTCAATTCTACTCCTTTGGTTTGCTAAAACATGGCAGCATTCACTTTTTGTACTGTGCACACAGGATGTTTTTGGGAAGTGTAAGCAATTATTGCGCTAACCATGTGCAATGTCCAGTCATCATCGTCAAGGGAAAGGTGGCTTCCTGATAAGAAAAGGTATGCATCTCAGTATTCTATGACCAATCTCTAGCAGCATTTTCATCCTCATTTGTTTTCCTTTAGCATTTCTTTCTTCTTCTCTTTTTAAATAAAATACTATTTTTTAATGTTCCATTACTTATAAACTCTTCAAAGCTGTCCATGCTGTGGCAAGATGCTTGCACAGAATGTTTTATCATTGCAATATAATCTTGACCTTTATTCATTATCCATGCACTGTGCGTGAGGGCATGTGGTTGTGCTCTTGAGCTCTTTTGAGTCTCAATTTTCTCTGGAATCTGGTTAGTCTTAAGTTCCCAAGATGTGTATGTACCATCTGATCAGGTTTAAGAACAAGGTCTATCTTTTCTTTCCTTCAAATCAAATGACTTTGATTCAGACTATTGCTTCGACTATTTTATTTAATGGAGAGTCACAACATTTACACTCTGGTAGTAGTACATGCTATCAGATTTAAAATGAATTATACTCTGGTAGGACACAGTATCAGATTTAAAATGAATTATTCCTACATTTTGACTTAAGCACATGGTGAGTTACCGACCCTAGGTTTGTCATCAGTATTCTAATTGGAAGATCCCATGAAGAAGCATATCCATGAAGAGATGGATAGTTTTGAAAAGGTTGACAGACTTATCTAGTTGGGAAGCTGGAAACTGAAATATCATAGATGACTCATATCTCATTTGCCAATTGGTTTCTGAGAGTTTTGTTAGAACCTATGCTCTCTTAGGCTATTAGTCTATCATGGAATGGACTGTTTCCTGTAATTTAAAAGTACATGCAAGTTGCAACGATTATCAACCTAGCTGATTTACTTCAAGATGATCACCCTTGCATCAAGATGGGAGATTGACACCGTAGTAATTAGAGGATAAATGGCACTCTCATGGTGCCTTATTTGTGGCATTGGGCATGCTAAACCTGTAGAATTCAGGGATTCGTGATACATCTTAGAGTAAGTTATGTATGGATGATGAATGAGGAAAGTGAATTGTGTGGAATCTGCTATGGCTGTTTCTTGCTTAGGTTTCCCTGCTGGTGTATGGTTATATTCAGCGTTCAACAAGGTTAAATATAGGTTGGATGGTTTAAGCTATGTTTTATTTGAAAGTCATGATTGCAATCCAAATATATTTAGATGCTTATTTGCTTAAATGAGATGACGCTTGTGTGCATTATGGGTCAGTTATTGGTTCTTAACTACTGTTTGTTACCTGAGGTATTAAGAAGAAAGCTAAAATAAACCTCTGATTTTTATTGGTCATAACAAGTTTTGATAATAAAGAATTAAATAAATTCGATGTGAGGTTGGGTTACTTGATTTGTGGCTGCATTGAACCAAATTTGAATTTGGTTTCTTCCTTTCTCATCTTTTTTCTTCTGTATTCATAAATTCATGACCTATTCAAGACTCGGGTTTTCCATTTATAGGGATGTTCAGGCATTGAATACTTCATACCAGCTGCTAAGAACCTATTGCAGAGTGATAATTATTAAATTGTAGAATCAGGATGTAGTGCAATTTGTTTAAATTGATGAAGTTTCCTTCATCAAATTTGTTTAAATACTTACCAATATTTTTTTTGTACTGTTACATTGTAGTAGTACCAAAGTTATATGTCGTTTTGCGCTCGTTGTGGAACTACAAAGGACTAATGCAGTAATGTTGTATGCTTTTCATAGGCAGAAATCGATGCATATAGGTTGTATTTCACTCTTAGAAGTTCCTATCCCGCTCTTAGAACACGTTTCCCGCCAGAGGTTACTTACCTGATATACAGATTTTTCATTCATTATGAACCATAGTTGTGCTGTTTTTATGCCATACCTCACTTGTTACTTGACATCCTTATTTGTGAAATTATATATGGCTAGTTTTGTTTCGGTGGAACTCATCTATTTTTTTTATCTGTGCTTCAGCTTCAGTTCATCTGTTATCCTGTTGTGCGACTGCTGATCAAGATCAGCTGTTAGTATGGAGTGTTTTCGGGAGGCGAGACCAGTACTGTTCTTATGTTGAGTGTGCTGTTGCAATCTAAGGTCATTTCTCGACCAACTGTCTTTTATTTTCTTTTCACGCCGTGTTAATATTTGGAGGAAATTACAGCAAGATAGTTTTTTTTTTGTTTCGTTGAAAGGAAAAAAAAAAACTGTGAATATTCAATATTGTATAGAGTAGCAATAAAGTCGAAGTAACAGAGGGTTTGGGGAAGTCCTCGTGTTGCATCCCTTCTTTTTCCGACCAAAAAAAAAAAAAGGTTAAAGTAACAGAACTGATGTTTTAAGATATGCTATGGAGTTGCTTTCCTTGAGATGTTATCTACCCTCTCCAGTTTTGTGCTTTCCTTAAGATCTCTGCATTGAGTATTGATGTTGGCAATACTAGAATACGATTTCTTTGAAGTGTTGCAAGCTCGTCAAGAATCTGTGTAGTAACAATACATTGGAGTTTGATGTAAGGAACAATACATTGGAGTTTGATGTAAGGGAAAAAAAAAGAAAAGGAAAATGAGCATCTCCAACCGATATGTCAAAAGTACCACATATGCATTTAACAGCTAGAAATAACATCTCACACACTCCAACCGATGTGTCAAAGCTGATGTGGAATGAAGGCTGCAGATTGAGATGTTATTTTTGACATCCCAAAAGCAAGATGTCAAATGAATAGTTTATTATTTTTTCTTTTCTATTCTTTTTAATTAAAAATAAATCAACACTAAAATGTAATAAAATAATAATTTAATTTGACATATGGGTGGAGTGTAAACCTGTGTAAGATGTCAAATTGCCACATCAGCCATCAAATTTAAATTTGATGTTTGGTATTTGACATCTCCCTTGGAGATGCTCAAGTCAGACTTATTAGTGTTGGGAAATTGCAAAATAGGAGAGACTTGTAATTACGAACTGATGTACGCTTACAAGATTCTGGCTCTTTTTAAGATTAGTATGGTTGGATCCTAAAATCAAGTAATTCTTTTCTTTATATACATTATATGTTTATCTCTTTCATCACGTGCTAAGTTAAGTAATGACAAAGAAAACACGTGGTTGTATACAGCCGGTGACGTGCAAGAAAACTCTCAACCCTTTTTAATTAAAAATAAATCAACACTAAAATGTAATAAAATAATAATTTAATTTGACATATCGGGTGGAGTGTAAAGCTGTGTAAGATGTCAAATTGCCACATCAGCCATCAAATTTAAATTTGATGTTTGGTATTTGACATCTCCCTTGGAGATGCTCAAGTCAGACTTATTAGTGTTGGGAAATTGCAAAATAGGAGAGACTTGTAATTACGAACTGATGTACGCTTACAAGATTCTGGCTCTTTTTAAGATTAGTATGGTCGGATCCTAAAATCAAGTAATTCTTTTCTTTATATACATTATATGTTTATCTCTTTCATCACGCGCTAAGTTAAGTAATGACAAAGAAAACACGTGGTTGTATACAGCCGGTGACGTGCAAGAAAACTCTCAACCAACCTTGCCCATGCCGTATGAATGTACCCTTTGCATCTTTGCGCCGCAACTAGCGTGGCTCTTTGTAGATTAAATTATTGACAAGGGTCACGAGAGCACCTGTAAACTCAAGATGCCCTACTCTCTTTCCGGTATTTTCAAAGGACATCCAAATCACTATGCATTTAGTTGGAAATTATTGTAACATCTTGGAGGTTGTGGTCCACCAATGCCCTAAATAAGTGTAATGATAGTGGTCTAGCCTCTTGGCAATTTCACGCTTTTATTTTTTGGTTTGGCCTGTAAAGCAATCTTGTCTTGTGTTCTCTCCTTTATGATGGCAATCAATTGAACAGTGAAATCTCGTGAGTATGGTGGGCTCTCTCACTGAGTCATTTTAGTCAGCTTCATTTATCAGCAGTTTTTTACTTTCTTTTTCTATTTTATTTTCGGATTTGTATAGCTTTATGCGAAGATCATACGCCAATCTTCAATGGGCTCTTAATTCAAGCAATTAAGAACAATGATTTCCTCTATCTCAATATCACTTGTTTTAAATATATAAAAAAATCATACACCAATCTTCTTACAACCGATGCAGGATATTGAGCTAGTTTGGGCATATAGAATACTGCGCAAGGCTAAACCATAAGGTGCAAAATTGGAAATTGAAAGTGAAAAAATAAAAATAAAAAAAACTTAGAAGCTCCTATTTTCATTTACGAACTGTTGTGAAATTTTTCAAAGAAGGACTTATGTTTGTGTCAGTAATCTACGTGATTACTTATACAACGGCTGACAGTTGTTCTCGTGCGTGTCTAACTATTTATATAAAGGAGCCTTTTGTTTTATTTTATTTTAAATTTTTTATATTTGGGTAAGTGTGAGAGAGCATTGGTAAGGACAAATTCCTGTTGTCTATTGTTTATTGTCTGCAACTTGCTTATTTAGCATAGTTGATTTGGCAATTTGTTTAAGTAGTTTTAAACAAATTGAAGCTCTCACTGTACTTGGGTTGGGTATCACGTGCCTGTTTCCCCATGTCCTATCTGTACTTGGGTTGGGTCACGTGTCTGTTTGCCCCGTCCTATCTGTTTTTGGTTTGATTCTCTGCTTACAGAGAAGAACTTGAGAGTGTGGACCCGGTCCATGAGGAGAAAGAAAGTCTTCTTTAGCCCCGTGACCGACCGGATCCCTGGATCGGCCCATGAACGGACAAGAAACAAAAGATATCTTGAGGTGCTGTCATCCATCTCCAAAGCCTCCTCCAATCTTGGCTTCTTTAACATTGAATTACGATTACGAATGAGCTGGAACTCACAATGGGATTTAGACAATATCAAGAATTAATTGCCAAAAAATAACTAATATCCCAAGAATTGATTAGTAAAAAAGTTGATCAAAAACTATTCAAATGAATAAGTATGAGACGAGCTGTAAACTCAGACGTTCTAGATTCAAACTTTTACAACTTAGAAAAGATTTGAATTTACATGATATGTACGGTTTTGCATGTAATTGCATTTATTCAGAATTTGCGGTCTTGAATTTACCTTAAAACATTATACATGATGAAAGTAATGACATTCTTTGGACCAATTAGAGCTTGATGCTAACTATGTCATTTATCCACATGATACACCCCAACTTGCTCCCTCCTTATTATGAAACGACACATGGTTTTCTTTTTCATCATTTTTGGGTTTATTCTTAGACCTGGTCCCATATCTTAGCTAGTTTTTCACATGCTTCCATCTCCATTGTAAAATATCACAAAACCAACTATTATCCAAGTCTCTCTCATATAGGATATAACCTATAAATTCCCAACTGCCAATAATTCTAAGTGTGCCTACAATAACTTCACTCCACCTATCTAACTTTTTATATATAGGTCTCACTACCTAAGACACACACAAACCAAAGTCATGGACTTGAAGATAACCCCTTTCTTTTTCTTCTTCTTCTTCACTCTTTTAATCTCTATCACCAAAGCCCTTGACCCTTGTGCCTCCCAATCCGACGGCTCACAAGACCTCTCCATCATTCCCACCTACAGCAAATGCTCTCCCTTCAGCCCACCCAAGACAGACTCTTGGGTCACCACAGTCCTCAACATGGCCTCCAAAGACCCAGCAAGGGTCAATTACTTGTCAACCCTAGTGGCCCAAAAAACCACTTCGGCTCCAATCGCTTCGGGCCAGCAGGTCCTCAACATTGCCAACTATGTGGTCCGGCTCAAGCTCGGTACCCCGGGCCAGCTCATGTTCATGGTCCTCGACACTAGCAATGACATTGCTTGGGCCCCGTGTTCCAGGTGCATCGGGTGCCCCTCCACCACCTTCTTGACCAACTCTTCGACCACTTACATGTCGTTGGATTGCTCCGTGCCCGAGTGTGCCCAAGCTAGGGGTCTCTCTTGCCCAGCCATAGGGTCTACTGGAACCAATGGATGTTTCTTTAACCAATCGTACGGTGGAGATTCATCATTTTCTGCCATCCTTGTACAAGATGCTTTGAGATTAGGCAATGATGTTATTCCAAAATACTCTTTTGGCTGCATCAATTCCATCTCGGGTGGGTCTGTTCCGTCCCAAGGGTTATTGGGCTTGGGTCGTGGATCCATGTCACTACTCTCACAATCCGGGTCACTCTACTCGGGCGTGTTTTCATATTGTTTACCGAGTTTCAAATCCTACTACTTTTCTGGGTCACTCAAACTTGGCCCAGCAGGCCAACCCAAATCAATCCGAACCACCCCACTTCTAAGAAACCCACGCCGGCCCTCATTGTATTACGTCAACCTCACTGGAATCACCGTGGGCCGGGTTCCCGTACCCATTGCCCCGGAGCTCCTAGCATTCAATCCGAACACAGGAGCTGGAACCATAATAGACTCGGGTACGGTCATAACCCGATTCGTGCAACCCGTTTACACTGCACTGCGGGACGAATTTAGAAAGCAAGTGAAGGGTACATTTTCGTCATTGGGGGCCTTCGACACCTGTTTTGCTGCAACCAATGAAGCTGTGGCCCCAACCATCACGTTGCAATTCACAGGCTTGAAGTTGACATTGCCTTTGGAGAACAGCTTGATTCACAGCAGCTCAGGGTCAGTGGCTTGCTTGGCAATGGCTGCTGCGCCTAATAATGTGAACTCAGTGCTGAACGTGATAGCCAACTTGCAGCAGCAGAACCTCAGGATTTTGTTTGATGTTGCCAACTCTGTTGTGGGCATAGCCCGTGAGAATTGTAATTAACTAGGTTTTTTTAGGCCTTTTTGGTGTGTCTTGTCGCTTTGTGCTGTGTTTAAATTGTCGCATTGATGCAAAAAATAGGTGGTGTGACTTGTGACAAATAAGAAAAGCAGGATAAGGCCTGCTGGTGTACGATGTTAATAATTACTATGTGGTAATTTTGGGAAGAAAAATTGGAGCTTTTGGTTTTGATTGTGACTGCTTGAACTTTGATAAGGTTTTATTTTGTATGGATGAATGTTCACAAACCAAGCTACTAGCTAGAGTCATGCCAAGGAATGGAAAAATTATTGGGTACTAAACTACATATGGGCCAAGGCATAGGCAATCTTTGAAACGAGTAATTGGACATTCACACATAACGATACAATTGTCATATTTATTTGTGGATTCTAAATGTGCTCTAGAATCTACACGTGAAGAAACCTGTAAATTTTTAAATTTTAATTTGGCAACTGTCGTTTATGAGATTTGAATTTAAAGTCTTCTCAAATTAAATGAAATATACATCGAGTAGAAGAGATTCAAACATAGTGCATTCAGATATCTCAATAAAAGTGACACTTAGCCCGGCTAAAGCCATTATTCATAA